GGGTTTTTGGCTTGGTTTGGTTTTGAATTGACGATAGCGATAACTGCTTTTGTCCTAGGATACTTCAGAGTCTTTCAGAAGACGTTTTAGAGGTGGGTTTTTTTTTAAGTTGTATCTTATCTTTACAACTGTCTGTGACACAGTGAGTGTAGTTCACATTCACTATCATTCTTAGCAACAACTGTTGGTCTGTTTTATCCGCCAACCTATAAATTTCATAAGCATTTATTTTTGTATTGATAGTTCCAACTGCAGAAATAAACATGGCATCTTCTGTCTTTTTTCTGCCTTTCTTTCATTTTTCTCTTTCTTTGAATCTTCGTTGTTGTTTTTTTCTTTCTTTTCTATACTTTTGTCATTTGTTTATTTATCTATTTACTAGGTGACTCTATAGCTGAACAGATAGAAAAGGGATACGTTAAAAAAGAAACGTGCAGTTTTTGTGTTTTTGTTTGTGTGTGTGATTTTGTAATTTAAAAAAAAATTTTAAAAAATTTGGGGTTGGCAGAGTGGACCTCCATCATATGAATTTTCATTCGCAAGTCACATACAAAAGTACTCCCTGACCCTCCCCGCGCGCCTGAATGCATAAAAAAAGACACTCCTCTCGGACCATTTTCTTTTCACAAACTTCCTGGTTTGGGGGTCGGGGTTAGCCGACAGTTACAGCGTATTCCAGTAGTTGCTGTCAACAGCCGTGTCCACGAACTGTTCATAAGAAGACTTATTCCGGCACAACTGCGCCACGATCGCTGTCGGCGGCACTCCCGTAGCATGACACTGACGACGGAGTGCCACACGGAGCTCAATGTTGACCCGATCGGATCGGTCCAATACACACGAACCAAGGATCCAGAGAAATTCATTTGTGTGCTTTAGTGGTCGTGGGCGCGCTGTGGTCGGGGGGAATTATACTAGAAGACAGAATACATAAACAACCGAAATTCTTCGTTGCACCAATCGTAGAAAGCAGTGTTGTACACTTATTGAAACAGTCATTTCCAGTGGAAAGGATCGGTCGGATCCTGACTCGGGGTATCACTGTACACATTTACATGGTGTTCACAGTGAGTAGACAATGACCTCTTCGTTAAATGACCCCAGATTAAGCAGCGCAAGGAGTTTACTGTAAACTTCTTGTAGCAGCGTTCTCTCTCGAAACATTAGCGTCTCCGCTGTGCCACTGTTGCAGGCTGAGGACGAGAGTTCAATAATCGAGAGGGGAAAAGTTCCTTTTATGGAGTAGCTTTGTCTTTGTGCTGCGATGCTATATTATCCCTCTCTGCCGAGGTTTTTGGTCCTGACAAGCAGGGCTAGCTTACTTCTTTAGTGTTCTTTATTGTGTCGATGGGAGCGTAAAACAATGACTATCACATGTGTCTCTCGGAACGCCAATCATTCCAACCCATATAACACACATCTGGTGGAAGGAATAACCATGTCAACCAGTGCCACACATACTATATTGTTTGACATTGTAAATAAAGAACGAGCGCTTGTCAAATGTCCACAGTGCTATTCAGTTGCTTTGAGACTTATTCCTACTGAATTTGAGAAAAATAAGCCTTTTTCAAGTTAGGCTGGCCGACGCGGTTGTGGTCTCATAAAAGTCAGCTCAGAAGGATCTCTGTAATTTTTCACTTTAAATAAAATCCTGCAGTGATTTGTAGGTTTGCTGATTTTAAAATTAAATGTTTACATAAAAAAAGATTGATATAGGTTCAGTAAGTAATTTTGAATTTAATATTTAAAGAAATTTAAGAAATAAGGGTAGTTTCCTTATTGCCATCCGTCAGATCCGACTTACATGTATAACTTGAGAGAGAGTCCCATAAGTGTTTACTGGTCATCAGTGGCTGGGGCAGCCCGTGTGGGCGGCTCATCTCGTGAGGAAGCAATGCAAACAATCTGGGGAGTACCGCCCACCACATCGTAGCCACAACATTACTGTTAACAGATCCTGTATTTTAGTTCTGATGAGTAATCCTACTTTTCGTATGTCTCTCTGTCAGTCAGCTGGTCAGTTTGTATCGTTGTCAGTTTGCAAGTCTCTCTGTTTGTGTGGCTGCTTCGATGACATCCCTCTGTATTTAATAACTCTGCTCATGTTCTTCTTGTTGAAAAAAAATGGCATTCTACGTCGTAAAAACAATTTTTCAAGGAAAATGCGGTTGAAAAGTGATATCTAACCTGTACTCATTAAACTAGTTGTTTTATTTGTTCATACATTTATTCTTAAATCTGCTAATGAATTCGCTTGTTTGTCCACAAATCAACAAGTTCATTTATTTTGTTTTCTCCTCTTCAGACAAGGATGGCAGAACTCTATACGTCACAACCTGAGCCTGAACGAATGCTTCGTGAAGATACCTAGAGACGATAAGAAACCCGGGAAGGGAAGCTACTGGACCCTTCACCCTGAGAGTTATAACATGTTCGACAACGGTAGCTATCTCAGACGAAGGAGGCGCTTCAAGAGGAGCCAGGCCGAAAAGGAGAAAGAAGAGAGAATGAAGCGGATGGCAGAAAACAAGGACGGGGTGAAGGAAGGTCTGGAGGAGGGAGAGGTGCAGCACAGTCACTCCCGCGGGGGCGACACGTCCAGTGGGAACACCAGCAGCAACACTTCTGGATCTGAGTCCGCCGTGGAGACGCCGGTCAAGCTGGAGAAGGATTCGATGAGGCCGCACAATTCACTGTCTCCCGGGGAACTCTCGCGGGGTACCAAGATAGAGCCGGTGGATACACCAAAGTCTGAGTGTGGAGTAGGCGGCGCCGGGGGCGCTCACGGTGAGCATCATCTCAGCATGAGTGACAGAATGGGCGGTACCAGACTTGGGGTGCCTCCCTTGTCGTCCCCCCATCATCCGTCGCACCTCTCGACTCACCCCCAGCTTCAGGGTCACGGGCTGGGTCTGCAAGGTCATCAGGGTTTATGCGGAGTGTCCAGTAATTCGCTACCGCTTCCTCCCGATCCCATAGAACCCACCGGTAGCAATTTCAGCGTGGAAAACTTCCTCTCCCCCTCTCATCACCTCAGTAACGGCGCTGATATGGGAGGCGGGGCATCGGGCTCGTCACGTCCACCTCCTCTGGTGTCACCCCATCATCTCCCTTACTCCCGACCCTCGTCGGATATATACAGGCCTGGAACGGCATGCAGCCAAGCCGCCTCTCCCTCGGCCTCCAGCTACAACTACCACTGTGGAGGGGGCGGAGCTAGTGGCTCTGGTCCATCAAGCTCCACCTACCCACCGGCGACCACGCCCCACCTCTCGTCCACGGCTCACGGCCAGCAGGCAGGAGTTCTACCCGCGCACCATCACCAGCACCCGGGCGTCATGAACATGTCCAGCGCCAGTAGCAACGGCACCAGCAACAACACCAACAACGGCAGCACCACCGGCGGAGGCGGGGCTGGCAGCACCAATGGCCACGGGTGCTCGGACGACAGCACTGGCAGCCCTCATGCCCCGGCCCATCACCACGCTCCCCACCACGCCCACTCCTCGTTACATCAACCCAACGGACTCAGCTCGAGCGTTTTCTCCATGTCGCAGACCAAAGACTTCACATATCCACGTACAAATGGTTGGTATCTCAATCCTGCGTTTGAGCCGGACCTGAACCCTGGCCCTTCGGATTTCAGCTCTTTCCCAGGTATGAGTATGAGAGATATGTTTCAAAGTTCGACAAGCTGCCAGTTGGCTGCCTTCAGAGCCCCTTCATACAAAACTCCGCCCTCGTCGTATTACGATTGCACAAAATATTAAACAGAACATTTCTGGAGACTATTAGGAAATAAAAAACTATTTTCACGGACACATGGTATACAAAATATATCCTTCAGTCCCATTCCTATCGCAAAACCTCTGCACGAACCTCTCCAACTTTGCTTACTTTTTTGTGAGACAAAGTTGTACCTCGACTGTTTGACTGTGCTATTATTTTATAAACAAGCCAAGAGTGTATCATTATACATGTAATATAATACATAGGCAGTTCACTGTTGCTGACAGTCCCACAGCTCCATGGTTTGCGCACCAAAGACGATACATGTTGAGCCATGGTCACAAGCAAAGTGGGTTCGAGAGTTCCCGGAGTGTCCATGCTGGGGTTCTTTTCAGTGCGTTGTAGTTGAAAAAGTTCTTTCCAAGTAAAGACTATTAGTCCAAATGTTGCATTTAGTTGTGTTTGTTTGCCATGATGTCGTTTGACTTAACCTGACTAGATTTTTCGCTCTCACAGCGTGCTTATGGTATTGGCTCTTCGTTTTTGCATTTATGATTTCAGCGATGTATTATGCATGGTTCAATAATATTGTTACACTGATAAGTGAGCATCTGCTGCTCTCCTCCTTATGACATTGTAGTTCGAAAGCTCCAGTGTGAAGTTTGAAACTCAAAGGCATCAATGTTTGTCTGTCGTTTATTCGTTGCATGCTTTTCGAACTCATGAATGTATACCCATCCCAGCTGTTATTTCTGTGACATCATCTCTTCGTTAAAGCTGTTCTTGGCGGAGACCATGTGACTTTATTCAAATCGATAGGCACAAATTTACAGTCATTCAACGTACCATTACAAGTAAGGTGTACATGTAGTTATTGAATTGTTTTTGGTGCGTTGTGACGTCACGGAACTTCTGCCTCTCTCAGTGGGCAGCTATGTCACCCCCCCCCCCCCTCCCCCAAACCATCCCACGTCTCTCTCTCTCTCTCTCTCTCTCTCTCTCTCTCTCTCTCTCTCTCTCTCTGTCTCTCTCTCTCTCTCTCTCTGTCTCTCTCTCTCTCTCTCTCTCTCTCTCTCTCTCTCTCTCTCTCTCTCTCTGTCTCGTCTCTCTCTGTCTCGTCTCTCTCTTCCCCTCACCACCCACCCTACCTCCCCTTTCTGAATCGGAGTGGCTAGAATTGAGCAGACAATGGGAGGTAAAGACTGGGTGCTCCCCTGTGAATGGCTGTGTAGTCTATGGTGTCTTATCAATAAGTTTGTCAATATTTGCATAAATGAAATGGGGAAAGGATAAAGAAGAGAAGCATACGGGCAAAATCAGGAGAGGCAGGACGACACTGTTAAGTGTAGACAAACGGTACTTAACGTTACTCTTCTCTCCATCACTGCAATCTGTGTTTTTATGCTATGTATTGGCTTAACTACATGTACATGCACCTCCTTCATAAGACTTACAGTGTTGACTGGGCATGGGTAAACGTGTCCGTGTCCCGGGCCGAATTAATCGATTTAGGTTATCCAAAGCAAAAGAAAATTTGGTGAAAATGGTTGAAATGACCAAGCTCTCAAAAGTGAGGCTAAAACTGACATTGCAGCATAATACGTCACTCAAGAGTATTTCACAAAGTAAGTTAGGGTGTTAAACAATCTATTGCTTTCAGCTGGGCGGGAAGTTATAGGTTTTTTCAAGAAAGATGTTTCTTATCAGGTGAGCCACATTCTTTGTTATTACTGGGTCGACTCGTGGGTCAGACTGAAACTGCTCGCGGGCTGAATCTGGCGGGCCATAGTTTGTCCATGCCTGATAAAGAGCAACCCTGTTCAAGCACTATCGTCCGTATGACTATGAGGTGCTTTCTACTATAATATTTAAGAGCAAATATATTCCTTTGTCGCGGCGAAGAGATCCTTGGTAAGCAAAGTTATCATACAAACCCTCTTTGAAATTCCAGCCAGAGATGTACAACCTATTGTCTACTTTGTGAATACTCCTTGTGGGTCTGTTTCTGTAGACCTGTGTTCTTGGAACCTGCATTTTGTAAAGTAAAGAGGCGCACCGAATGCAGGTAATATTTCGTTTGCTTTTTCTCTTGGGATGGAATATAATAGCTTCTTATCAATTATCGAATCTAAAAGTATTCATATTATGAAAGCTATGGGCAAATTTGCTCAAATCTCTAGTCGTTAGACAGCAAAGGGCAGCAAGGCAGTTGACACGCTTTGAATCAGTGACTTAATTAACGAGAAAGAAAAAACATGATATAGTACCCAATGATTTGTTTTGGTTTCTTTTTTCTTTGCTTTGTGTGACTTGTATGTGTATTTGTGCACTTTTGTATGTATGTGTGTGAGCACGTGCGTGCGCGCGCACGCGCGCGCGCGCGTGTGTGTGTGTGTGTGTGTGTGTGTGTGTGTGTGTGTGTGCGTGAATGCGTGCGTGCATGTGCGTGCGTGTGTGAGATGTTTAGGAAAAATTGGGCGAGGGGGGGTGTTCTCAATTTAAGAAAATATCCCCAAAAAGCCTTTCCTCTTGAAAAATGAGGAAAATGGCTTTTCAATCTTGCAAGTCCGGGTTGCTAACAAAAAAACAAAAAAAGCTAAAGCAGAATAGATTCAGTCTTTGGAAATAATATTTAGCATAAAAAGCATTTATTTTTTATTTAAGAAAAAAAATGAGGACGAGCGAGAAGTATGCGTTGGACCCCTCCCCCTCCCCCACCCCAAAATCCACACGCACACTGCTTTCAAATTGCCGTTCTAAACGCATAAAGAGATCCTTTGATAAGCCATACCGATTTCATTCACGGGGAGCGTCGCTATCCGTGGTTGGGACCAAAAACTAGTATGTTAACGAGTAAATGAGAATTTCACATTCAGGATGTCAACCTTAACGCAATCACGTCATCGATTACGTGCATTGTTAGGATATTAAACTCTTTTCACTTGTATTTGTTTCGGAGTGACATTGAACAATTTTTTCTACCCGGGAGAAATTAACCAGTTGACAGTGCGGTGTGCAAGGACCCCTATGTGGGCAGGAACATCAATTATGGGCTTCCTCTCTCACGTCGCGCCATGTGTTGTCGTGTCACATCGCCCTCTAACGGGAAATATTAGATTTTCTGAGCCATACAGTCATTTGTTTACGGAATTTTTATTCATTTGTTTATTTGTTCATCCATTCAGTGATTATGCTTATGTATTCTTTCGTTGACAGTTTTTAGCCAAAAATTACCTTTCTTTAGGAAATAAAATCTTATTCATTCGTTTGTTCATTCCTTCATTCATTCATTCATTTGGTTTATTTATTTATTTATTTATTTATTTATTTATTTATTTATTTATTTATTTACTCATTTCATTCTTTCTTTCTTTATCCAAGAGAAGTGTATTTTGTCCCTTTTAGAAATTCCCTATAATTCACAACTTGTTAGTCTGTTAAGCTTCGGGGTTTAATATTATTTTCAATTTGTTTTATCGTTTACAGTTATAATTGTTCGCGTCATTATCTTATCATAATTTATTTATTTATTTATTATTATTATTATTATTATTATTATTATTATTATTATTATTATTATTATTATTATTATTGTTGTTGTTGTTGTTGTTATTGTTATATTTTGTCTTATGATTATCATTACATTATCATTATTATTATTATTATTATAACTATTATAATCATTATTATATTATTATTTTCATTATCATCATCATCATTATCTTCATTACTAGTCTAAAATTATTTTACATAGGAATATATTGTCTTTTCTTTGGGGATTACATAATATTATTAATGTCTTTAGTTAGTTCGAAATATTTGTTATAACAGTGGGTCGCCCTAGATTTAAAAAAAAATATTTTATATGGTGTCCCAAAGAAAAAGTCATAGAATGTTTTTAAAAAAGCAATCAAAAGTGTTATTAAGAGAAACATCTATTTATACTCTAAATCGGCACCTGCCACACACACTTGTGTATTAAAGTGAATATTCCACGCAGCTGACTGAGCACACAGTGACTTTGAACGCTCTTCTCAAGTTGGCTTACAAGACATTGCATCCCCATAATATAAGAATAAATCTTGAATCAGTCTGTTGTCAGCGCGCATTGTGGGTGTCAGACGCTGCGATCACCACCACCTGTTTGGTTGTTTGCACCAGGAAACAATGCTTTTAATTAGTAACAGCAGGAAGTCTGGGCCAAACCTGACACACTGAATGGATCGCTCAGAGCACGTGCTGGGTTGTGGGTCAGTGGGTGAGTCTGTTGTCTGCTGTACACACGACCTTCTTCCAACGTTTGCTTTCCTCGCATCAGACGATGGGGAAAGTTGTGCCGTTGTTTTGGAGTTGACACAAAAATTAATATGCTGGCTGTTAATCTGGTCTATAGAATCTAACGCATAACAATGGGTGTTTATGGAGGTTGTTTATATTTGTTGTTTAAAGATAAAGAGTTGCAGGTCGAGACAAAACTTGGCTTTTTTAAAACAGAAAGAGTCACATGCATTGGCAAGAAAGGGGACCCCCCCCCCCCTTTCCCACAACCCGCCTTTCTATTTAGAGGTTTAAAAAAGGAAATGTAATGTTATATATGTATACTTCGGGCGTTTCTCATAACAGCTATGAGTTTTGATAAGGCCAGTTTGCTGTCGGGTGTCTTGGTATGGTATTCTTATTCTTTATCAATTTAAACGAGTATATACCCTTTCATTTGCATTTAAGACTGTTCTTGCATTCTGTTTCTTTGGCTAACCGAACCCTGGCATAGATATTCATTTTAAACATGTTTGTATGTATGCAGCAATATTGTGGTAGAAAACAAGCCGGAATAGAACCGAGATGTAAGACTAATAAAGAGAGTAACAAATGAGCAAATGGATTGTAAAGAAGAAACCAATTTCAGACAGAAAGACAGATCTAGATGTGGGAAGCAGGTGTACATTGCAGATCGCAGAGTTGCTATTGGAACTCACTTGCACAGGAATTTTGATAACTGAAAAGTGCTTCTCCAACCTATTTAGTCGCATTTTGAAGCCTCATCACCCCATCCCCTTCATTTTGTTTCTTTTTAGTGTTTTGCGGTTACTTTTTTTTTTACCGCCAAGGGCATGAGTACTGTAAAGCCCCTTGTGACTGAAAAAAAATGTTTAACTCAATTTCCGAATTTTGACATTTTCTTACCATATGATAGCGTTTTGGTTGATATTTAAGGGTTTGTTTATAGTGAAATCTTTCCGTTTGACTTGTGGGTGGTTGGAGGTGCTACTGGTAGGTCCTACTTCTTTACTTTCCGTCTGCTGTGTCTTTCTGTCTGTCTTTATGACTATTATTGTGTCGATGTGCTACCCTTTACTCATAATAAACAGAAAGAAACAAGCTGTTTGACTCTGAACCATCTCTGAACTCATTATTGCAATTCTTTTTTCAACTGTACAATTATGGGGAACAGAATCGCCTGTCAGGGTGGTCGTTTTTTCAAGTAGAATAGCGACTTAAGTCGCCCCCTAAAAGGTCCAGGCAAGGAACTTTAGGTCTCATTTTACAGAAATCAATAACATGATGCTATATTGGACCTACAGTGAAATTAAATAAAATAGTGATTACACATGGCTAGCGAGTGCGTGTACACGAAAACTCTAGTTCTGTTTTTAGAATGCACAAGTGAAATGAAACATGATTTGTGACAGCGCTCACCCAGAAAAAAATATTTAACCGTCTTCTTTCAAACCATTTCTATTACAATTCGGGTTGCACCGTGGTTAAATCAGGTTCTCGTCAAATTTTGCAACGTTTTCTCCCTTTGCGCAATTTTTATCTATTTTTAAGAATGTTTTGTGATCAACACCTTTAATCGCTATTTAAAACGCATTTCTGTTTTGATTTTGCTAAAAAGAGGTAAAAAATGTATTTGTAGTTTCCAAGGAGTGTCAAGCTTTGGAAGACACCAGACTTTGGCAGCCATTTGCGCTCTAATTTTACCTCTGA